GACCTAAAAACAATGGTCACATCTGACCATGACAGACATAGCAAAACTGTCTGTTCGGCTTAGTCATTTTGTTGGCAGGGAAAGGGTTAAGAAAAGAAAACCTCATTATCTCAAATCATGCAGTTCATCTTCAAGTAAATAAAACCATCCTGGTATACGCCATGTAGGTATAGTTCCCACTCATTCTTGACCTCGGCACTAGATGGAGGTGAGTGGTCAGCATCACGCCCCGGCCGCGCTTTACCCCCAAGAAAGGATCCCGGTACCCACTGGATATAGGAGGCTGGGTTAGCCTAAGAGCTGGTCTAGCTGCAGAGGCTAGAGGAAAAATCCTCTGCCCTCGTCAGGAATCAAACCCCAGTCGTCCAGCCCGTAGCTAGTCACTATACTGACTCAGCTATCCTGGCTCCACCCATATATAGTAGGTGGTCCTTTATTCTCGTTTCCCTTAAACATGTACATTCTACAGTTCAACCAAATGTCTAACAGTTGGCATGGTATGATATTATGTATGGTTTAGTATGGTGTAGTGAGATATGCTGTGGTGTGTTATAGTACAGTGTACAGTATAACAGCGGAAGCGGCTTTAAAGATGGCGCGAGATACTGGAAGCAAAATGACAAGACCTATCTTCCATACAAAAATGTGCTGTGTTTGTGAACTCACAGTTCCGCCACTGCAAGGGCACAATGCTAAATGGCAGTTCTACATTCCCTATGACTGTAAGGAAACACTGAGATAAAACAACTAGAAGCAGATCACCGATAGGTGGCCAATAACTGCTGATAAAATTAGTGGTGCACATAAACATTCCACATTGTCCATGTCCTTTAAAAAGTGGCATTAGAATAACACATTCCTTTTAGTTTCAAAATAAAACTGCTACTTCTATGACAACAGAACTCAACTCATAATGGTGAATCCCAACAGAAAGTACATCTATAAAAATATTACAAAGAAATGTATCTGTTTACTCTTAGCCCATTACATTTTTTACTTTCAAACTGAAAGTATATGTTCACCTAATACTGAGATAAAAACCAAACTGCATGGTCTTACTATTATTATATATTCACTATGGTGATTATAAATATTGTAACTACTGCAGTAAAATATTCTCACTGAAAATTTGTATTACTGGACACATAAATGTGGGAATGAAGCTAAGAGTTACCTTTGGAAATAATGATTTCACAAGTAGCCCACACATACAGTGGGCAATCAAGTAAATAGGTTGTGAGCCAACGCCAGCCTTTCTGCATCAGTTCGTTACTGTGATATTCTAGGTTCCTTCTGGAAAAGAAGACAGAATGAGTTACTCAGGGAGGCAACAGATCTATCAACTTTGAAACATCTGTAAACATCTACCAGACTAAACAGTGCAACAACCCAGAATATACCTAAGGTCAGAGACAGACTGCAGTCTTTTAAACAGAGAACATTAATTCATTTAGGAATGGTGGATAATGTCCAAGAACTTTGTTATTTTAAGACATGACATCAGTTTTCAAATGAGTATAAAACATATAAAGAATTTATTGTTCATAATGTTTTCTCTTCTTTGTTAGTACATTTCCCAAAACTGATAACTCACATGTCGATAACAACAGGACACTTGGGAGCCCACGTGAACAAACTGGTATAACAGTTGACAGAAATAATATGCAAACGATGGAAATCCTGTGGGAGCCAGTCACATCGCTAGCATGCACTATATGTTTTGCAAACTTCCAGAGACTACTGAACACATGGATGAAGAGGGTGAAATAGATCAAGTTCTGACACTTTTCTTCCCAACGGACTGACGGATCAGTTTCTATGCCAGAATAGCCTATGCCTAGCTTTGTACTACAATTTTTTAAGATTACTGGCATTACTGAAATCAGCAATCAACTTTGTTAAATCACATTGTCTCTTGAATATACCATAGTTTTGCTACTTTCAATTTTTCTATCAAGATAGTGGAAGAGGAAAGAAACAAAAAATTTAGTTTGAAGTTACATGACAATGGCAGTGTGTGGGAAAATGTGGTTGTGTCTATATCAAACCAAACGTGGAATTACTAACAGACATACTGTGTTACAATGTAAGATGATGGTTAACAACAGCCTGGAGTTAAAAAGTTTTTATACTTCATAGACAAAATTCGTTCATGTACAAACAATACTTACTGGCGATGATGTTATTAATTAAATGCTATGAACCTGTTAACTTCTTTAGCTACCCTTCTACACTGAACACTTTAACCATTGACAAATTATAATTAAAGACAAAATTCTGTTGCCACTACCTAATATAAAAGGAATACCGAGACTATTTCTGATATCTTACGGTTACAAACTGCGCAGAGGAAGATCATTTTAGCCTTCAGAATACTCAAAGAATGAGCTGCCTAAACATATACATAACAATTCTCAGCTCAATAACATACCATAAAATAACAAAGAATCTCTCTTTCAGAACACACTTTCAGCACAAAATTTCATATTTTGTTATTATGTAGTGCAAGCACTTGTTTTTGTGATTCCTTGAACATATGTAGATTACTGCCATTCATTTCTTTACCATGTAACATAGCAAAATATTGGTATATTTCTAAAAATGGTAAGGCTGAGCAGTAAGCAAGCAGAAGAGTACTTGGGAGTGAATGTCCTCAAGCATGAATACACAAAAAAACTTTAAAAATTAAGATTGCTGTCTTCTGGGTTGGTGCACCGGTTGTTGCACCGCGTGGACTGAAAAAAGTTTACCGACATTTTAGAGGTTCTCACTGCCTCCGTCATCAGGGCGATGAGTGAAGCAGCAAGGACCTCTGAAACATCAGCAAACTTCTACCAGACTACGCGGCGCAACAACCCAGAAGACAGCACAAAAAACGCCGTTCTGCAAGTGCTTTGACATTTTTGACTTGTTATCACGAGGAGGAAGATGAAATATTGTGTCATATTGTGACGGGAGATGAGACTTGGGCCTCCCATATCACACCTCAATCAAAACAGCATTCCATGAAGTGGAAGCAAACAGCGTCTCCAAAATCCCAAAAGTTTAAGCAGACAATTTCAACCAGAAAAATCATGTGCACCGTATTCTGGGACAGGAAAGGTGTTCTATTGGTGGAATTCATGCCGACAGGCACAACAATCAACTCTAATGTTTACTGCGAAACTTTGAAGAAGCTGAGACGTGCAATTCAGAACAAAAGGTGCAGGATGCTGAGTTTTGGCATTCTTTTGCTTCACGACAACACTGCTCAGATTCAAAACCTTATCACGTCATTTGGTGCCAAGCGACTTTCACCTCTTCCTACACTTGAAGAAATTTCTGGCCGGCCAACATTTTTTTGATGACGATGAAGTGAAAGAGGCAGTGCAGCAGTGGCCGACATCGCAGGCAGCCGCATTATATGAGGATGGTATACAAAAGCTTGTTTTTTTTTAAAAAACTATATTTTGTTTTTTGTTAATTCCCAAAAGGTACTTACTTTCCGAATACACCTCGTAAATGTGAATGATTAAGGGTTAAATTTTCAATTATAATTCTGGTTACTAAGCCTGAAAATATTTCACAACGTGGACTATTATACCAAGATGTTTGCTCAAGAAATATATTAAATTTCATTTTTTAAACAGCAAGTCAGATAAACATTTTGCATCATAATGCATGCACTGAAACCCAGCCTCAATCAAAAATTCAGATAACAGAAACCACTGCTTTGACATTAAGAGCTGGAAAGGTAATAATTTCTAAACTGGGACGACCTTTCTTGCTGCCGCTACAGACACAGTCTTGGGTACCGGAACACCCATGAGGTTGCAAAGTTTGTTGCGCGTGGGTTTCACAATGTCTACGTCTTGCTCCCAGTCGGTATCACTCAGAATGGCCATGACCTCATCCAAGTTCTCTCCAGGAATGACACTGTCCTCCCCATACAGCAGTAGCGCCTCGTAAAGTCTGCTGGCTGTCGTCTTTCGGACCCATAAGAATCGATTGCATAAAAATATACACAACTGCACCAGCGAGCGTCTAGAAACCTCCCCGTTTACCTGAAATATAAGTTCATTTTATTATGAAAACATATGAAACAGCAATTCCATGCCATTGCCCTTCCTAATTTCTTCACTGCATACATTTTATTAGTACAAAATGCTTTGGATGAGTAAATAAATTTGAAAATCTTTCTTTTCCTTTTATTTGTTATACTATTTACTAATCTTACATTCACCCTAACATTCAAAACCCAAAAGTTTATTAGTGCAATTTTCTGTAATCTGTTTATATCTAAAGAAGACATGGCTGCAACATGACACGCCTAAAAGCCAGTACAACTTGAAAATTTAAGCTATATATTGTGATATTTTATTTTTTATTTTTAGTGTTCTGTCTGACGACAGGTCCATATGAACAGGATCCTTCAATCCTTTTCTCGGACTGGGACCTGTTCATATACGTTCTTCGCAGATGATCCAGAAGTGGTTTGCCATTGCCTTCTTCTGTGTGTGAATGGAGTAATTGTTGGATGCCACGGAGAAAAACTCCATGTTGCCTAGACCACGGCCTTGCCCAACACAAGTTATAAATTCGAGCACCGCCGGGAATCGAACCCGAAACCCCAGGATTACAAGGCCAGCATTCTAACCGCTAGACCACCGTGGCGGTTTATCTTGTGATATCTTACAGCAAAAATTTTATTTAATGTAAGAATGATCCTCTACAAAATGTCAAAAAGACTGCTGCATACGAGGTCTGTTCAAAAAGTATCAGACCTTATTTTTTCCCACAGAAACAAATGAAGCATGGGAGGTGTCCTCCGGTGGGGGGTTATAGGGGATCTTCATGCGCATTCTTGAATTTTTTCCCGCCCGCTCAGAGCGTCAGTCAGCCTGCGAGTGAGTGACTGTAGTGAACGCCCGTCAGATTTTCATTTACCGCAAAATGATGGAACGACTTGAGCAGCGGTATTGCATCAAATTTTGCCAAAAGCTTGGCGATATGCAAGTGGAAACCATTCGGAAGATTCAGCAGGCTTTCAGCAACGATGCCATGAGCATCACACAAATGAAGGAGCGGTACAACTGCTTCAAAGATGGCCGCACGTCGATGGAGAGTGAACCACATTCCGGTAGGTCCTCAACAAGCCAAAATGACAAGGTCATTGACCAAGTGCGGACTTTGGTCATGCTGGACCGTCTTTTCACAGTCCAAGAACTTGCGGACGAGGCCATCCATCGCCTTCGTGATGCTGTGCAGCAGGAACTTGGCAGCTCCATCATGACAACGTACCCGCCCATTCTTCACATCTGATTCAGGATTTCTTGGCCAAACACAACATTCCTCTGGTTCTTCAGGCTCCCTACACTCCCGACATGGCTCCTTGTGATTTTTGGCTGTTCCCCAAGCTGAAAATGCCGCTGAAAGGGACCCGATTCGCAGTATATGAAAATCCGACGGGCATTCACTACACTCACTCACTCACTCGCTGACTGACGCTCTGTGCGGGTGGGAAAAATTCACGAATGCGCATGAAGGTCCCCTACAACCTCCCACCAGAGGACACCTCCCGTGCTTCATTTGTTTCCGTGAGAAAAATTAAGGTCCAATACTTTTTGAACAGACCTCGTAAACACAAGATTCACAGGGCTGTAAAGTTTAAACTTGCAATAAAGGAAGTTCTATGGAAAAATAACTACAACTCCACAGCGAAAGAGTAACAAAGCTGAGAGTATGTTCAGCTAGACAAGAAATTCTCCGCATTCCATAACATAAAAGTTCTCTACAATATTCTGAGGAGCCTGTGACTAGTCCCTGTTCTTAGGCAGATGAATGTAGCCCAGAGCCCCCCTGAGGTCCATTTTAATATTTTTTACTTCCATCCACACCTAGTCTTTCAGGTGGTCTCTTCCCTTATAGCCTTCCAACCAAAATCCACGTCACATATTTCGCACCTCATCCACGTCACATGCCCTGCCAACCTCATGCTCCTTGATTTCATTACCTTTACAATATTTGATGAAAAGTAAAAAGTACAAGCCCTTCATTATGCAGTCTTCAGCCTCCTGTTACTTCATCCCCCTTAAGTCCAAATATTCTCCTCAGCGCCTGTTCTCAATTATCCTCACCTGCGTTCTTTCCTTAATCTTTTTATCTGTTTAACAGTTATTTCAGTAGCTCAGACGAGACAGCGTAGAATGATGACAGTGAATAAAGAATTGGAAAGGATTTGGAAGGAAGTGGTCATGGCCTAATTCAAGGTTATCCTGGCATTTGTCTGGAGAGAACAAGGAAAAGCACAACAAACCTCAGTCAGTCATTGGGCTAAGATTTAAACCCGGGACCTCCCAAATACAAAGCAAGGATGGAGCAAATTACACAAAGTGGAGCATCAAAGATTCACACACTTTGCCAAGAAATATTAAAGCAATCAAGTGAAGTGTAATGGGCAGGACATGTAGCACACGGAGAAGGAGGTGAGAAATGTATACAAAACTTTAGTCAGAAAACTTACAGGTAAATTACCACATGGAAGGATATTATTAAAATGGGTCTTAAAGAAAGATAATGTGAGGATATGGATGAATTACATTGTCTAGACATTGTACATATGTGGGATCTTGTAAGCACATTAATACACAGACGGATTACGTTAAAGGCCAGAATTTTTTTGAGCAACCATAACTTTCTGAAAAAGAACGTAAAGTTAGTTTGTCAGTCAATCAAAGCTTAACACTAGAAAAAGTACTAATGTTAAAGAGACAAAAATATTAGAAAAAACATACTTTTAAAATACAAATATGGTGATCACATGAACATACAGACATGTGTGAACTTTACCGTTCCAGAAATGAAGAATAAAGAAAAAGTATTAGAAGAGAACCAGGCTGACTAACCTGAACCAAATGACATAATACATTCACACTTCCCCTTAGTTTGGTCACTTCACGAGTCTTGCCAATCTCAAGCTTCGTGTGATTCAGTACGTCTGATGCAAATGTCGACCGAGGGTTTTCCAAGACAGAACAAACGCAGCCTGAGCTAAACAGACGATCCAGAAATTCAAACAATGGAATAGTGATCCTGTCGACGTACTGGTGGTGTCGGAAAATTTCAATGATGGTTTTACAAAGTCGTTCCAGCTCCAGACTGTTAGAATGATGAGCTTTCAGGTACGAGAACAGTGATGAACTGGAGTGTTTCACCTGCAGACAAGTCAAAGACTCCGTTATTACATAAAGCAGTTCACAGAAACAAAGATCTTGTAATGCAAGTCATATGTTTCATTGTGGTTTATGCTTTCAGGTATAGATTCCGACCAAAATCCACACTTTACTCATAAAACTTACAACAGAGATGAAACCAGTATATTATGTACAGCAGATAATATTCATATAAGAAAGTCAAATCACCAGATAATCGGCAAAAATTGAGTGTACAATTGGACAGTAACTCGTCTATTTGCATATATTTCAATAAGCTTATGACTCAGAAGAAAAGTACTATGCAACATTTTCACTTAATTTAGTACACACAAAACTAGTTGAGCTAACGAAGATGGCTGTCTTCTGGGTCGTAATACCATGCAGTCTGGTAGCAGGTAATCAATGTTTCGGAGGTTATGAGTCATTGCCCTTATGATGGAACAGTAATTACCTCTAGAACACTGGTTAGCATCTACCAAACTACATGGCACTACAACCCAGAAGACAGCCTTTTCCATCTTTGTACTCACTGCTATGAGAACCTAGGTGGGGTAATTAAAACGTGATTAAATGTAACTTATATTAAAGTCCATACAGATAAGCATGCCTGTTTCCTGTTTAGAATGATCTGAAAATAGAAGTTTTACTGCCATTGTGAAATTGCTCTTTATGCTAGAAGTAATATCCAAGAAAATCAGGGGAGATTTTAACAGAATGCCATACACCACTTTCTCATCTACGTTGGTGAGATTAATTTACTGGGCAGCAACAAAAATTCTATACAGAAAATCCAGATATTCTATAAGAGAAGAAAAAATATGTATACATTTATATTTTGTCAAAATAATGTAAACATGTAATAAAGGTAGACAATACACACCATGAAAATGTATCAAGATCGAAACAAACAGATCAAAATTTCACTCAGAAAGTAAAAGCAGTTTAATTTTGAGGAGGCTTGCCACTGCAAGTTCAGAATAACTGACCTTTCAGTCATCTAAAATACACAAACCTGTAATTTTGCCAGTATTAGGACACTAAAATATGGGAGTGAAACTCTGTATGATACAACAAAAAGAGTTTCCAACCTTAATATTGCATCTATGTCAATTTTTTTTAGTCTATCCAGCTTCCAGAATCTAAATTATTCAAGTTCAAAATGTAAGTTAAATTGGTTTTTCTCTGTTATAATTAATACTATTATAAAATGACAACACCAAATATTTTAAAATATTTTATTTTGTTCTGATTGACATTAATTTGCTACTTCAGCAGATAAATCTTAAGACAGTAAAACTAACTAACTAACTAGATGGCTTACCGAACCCGAAGGTTCATCACCGAGTTAACCAAAGCCCTCCACCGGACCCTGTCCTGGGCCAACAAAATCCAGTTTCCTTCAACTCCTATCTCCCATAGATCCCGCCTGAGATTATCCTCCCATCTACGTCTAGGTCTCCCCAGAGGTCTCTTCCCCTCAGGCTTCCCAAATAGTGGACCCAACCAACCAGATGGCTTAGTGTTCCTCCCTCTGAGTGAGAGACCATGTTTCGCACCCATACAAAACAACAGGCAAGATTATTGTTTTGTATACTTTAATTTTCAGGTTCTTAGAAATCAGACGGGAAGACAAAATATTTTGGACTGAGAAGTAGCAAGCATTTCCGGAATTTAGTCTCCTCCTAACTTCCTCACAAGTATCATTTTGATTTGTTATTGTTGTTCCCAAATATTTGAACTTTGTAACCCTTTCAAAGGATTTATTAGCTACCCTAAGATAATTTTGCCCGCCTGTCTTCTGATGACGAGATACTAACATGTACTTAGTTTTTTCTGAATTTACTTCCAGCCCCACTTGTCTACCAGCCTCTAGTAAAACTTCTGCGTTCCTCTTTATTGTATTTATATCGTCCCCCAATAAATTAACATCATCAGCATATGCCAATAGCTGATGTGTCCCGTTCAATTGCAAACCCTCCTGCCTACCTTGGACCTTCCTGATGGCGTATTCTAGCGCAAAGTTAAAGAGCAAGGGAGACAAAGCATCTCCTTGTTTTAGACCGTTCTTGATGAGGAATGTCTCAGATACATATTTACCTACTCGAATTTTGCTGCAGGTTTCATTTAAGCACATTTTTATTAGACCCACTAGCTTCTTTGGTATACCAAATTCAATAAGAATATTATATAGCACTTCTCTCTTCACAGAGTCATAGGCTTTTTTGAAATCTATAAATAACTGATGTACAGTCCCACCGAACTCCCATTTTTTCTCTAGTATCTGACGAATGCAAAAGATCTGATCAATCGTTGATCTGTTTCGTCTGAACCCACACTGATGATCCCCAATAGTTTCATTCGCATATGGGGTTAATCTTGCCAAAAGAATGTTGGATAGAATTTTGTATGAGGTTGATAGCAGCGATATTCCTCGGTAATTACCACACTCAGTCTTGTCCCCCTTCTTATAAATAGGAATAATTATGGATTCCTTCCATTGATGTGGCATCTCTTCCTTATCCCAAATTAACTGAATAAGCTTATGGATCCTCATATGCAACCCTTTGCCACCTGCTTTAATTAATTCGGCCGGAATCTGATCAATTCCTGGAGATTTATAACTTTTCAACTTCCCAATGGCTAGTTCCACTTCATCTAAGCTAGGTTCTGGCACCAACAGTTCAGCTGTATGCATTTTAATCTGTCTAATATCACCAGTATTATGAACATTTAAGAGCTCGCTAAAGAAATTTTTCCACCTATTCACAATTTTTATTGGATCTGCAAGCAAATTGCCACTATCATCCTTTACCAAATTAGTCTGGGGTTGATATCCTTTCTTAAAGTTATTAATGCCTCTGTACAGGTCTCTGATGTTTTTTTCCTTATTATTTGTCTCAAGTTCAGCAATTTTGCCCTTCAGGTATTCCCTTTTCTTAGTCCTAAAGGTTCTACTAGCCTCACGTCTCACGTTACATAGATTATCCGCATTTGTTTTGTTTGGGTTCTGCAACCATTGAAATTTTGTTTGCTTCCTTCGATCTATTAATTTTGAACATTCTTCATCAAACCACGGTTTATTTTGCTTTCTCCTGTAGTATCCTAGTTTCTCTTTTGCTGAAATTTTGATGCAGTTTCTGACATTTTCCCACTCCCTGTTGATGTCCACACTTTCATTATCCTCATTTGTCTCTAAAATTTGAAACCTATTCGAAATTTCAACTTGATATTGTTCCTTTGCCTCTCCCTCACTTAATTTTTTCAAATCAAATCTTTCTGTGTCAAAATTTTGTTTAGTTCGTCTACTTACTGAAAGCCGCTCCCTCACTTTTGCTACCACCAGATAATGATCAGTGTCGCAATCTGCTCCTCTGAATGATCTCACATCAATTACATTTGTCTGCCTTCTCTTATCTACTAAAACATGATCTATTTGATTGTGTGTTCTGCCATCTGGGGAAGTCCAAGTGTATTTATGAACATCACGGTGTGGAAATTTTGTACTTTTTACAATTAAATCTTTTGACGTAGCGAAGGTTACTGCTCTAAGACCGTTATCATTACTAAGTGCATGGAGACTCTCGCTGCCTATTGTGGGTTTGAAGATATCCTCCCTCCCAATTTTTGCATTGAAATCTCCTAGCGGAATTTTCATGTGATACTTGCCAAATGTATCACATACTGATTCCAATTCTTCATAAAAGCTATCCTTGATATCATCGCTTTTGTCTTCAGTTGGGGCATGAACATTAAGGACAATGATGTCGCACCAACGTCCTTCCAAAATTACGTAAGACAACCTGTCACTAACAAATTCTACTCTCTTAACTGCTGCCCTAATTCTGCTATGAACAAAAAAACCCGTCCCTAGCTGATGATTGTCATTCCCCTTTCCACAGAAAAATGTAAAATAAGACAGTAAATGATAATGAATATTTTACTTTAACCTTTTAGTGTTTTAACTGTTGTGTTGTTTTTCTCTGGTAAAGATTAAAATTAGGTTACTCGTAAACACAGGTCAGGCATATAATCGGTATGTTAACCTAAATCTGAAATAATACTCGGGCATATTAGAGCCAAACTCTCACCACACTCTCAGTGAGGCCACCCACGCTGACTACCAAACCGAGCAGCACATTGTACGTGAAAGGTCGGAATGCAAGCAACTGTATGAAACGAGGGAATGTGTCAGATGCTGCAATCCAGTTTATCTCGTGCTCACGTGATGCTGGTGGGAAGATTTTTACCAGCTCTGCATGGTGTGGAATGTTTGGTATCGCAGGATCACTGGAATGGAACCACATGTCCTTATCACACTTGTTAGAACTCATCGCTAAACTTAAATAGAAGTAACTCACTAGCACTTAGTATCACTTGTAATATTAATCTGCACTCAATTATAAAACTATGTAAAAATAATTTAGACAGATAATAATATTTTGTACAATAAATTAAAGTTTTTCAAAATTAAGGAATATCTACATGTAAAAAAATAATCCATCTACAAGATGTCAATCACAGAATCATAGAATCAATAATGATAATGATTCATGTAAAAAGCTTCAGATACCAACAAATCTACACCACTTAAGATTTACCAGACTAGGATCATGATTCTGCTCAAGCAAACAAAAAAATGGTAGGGGTGGGGAGGATACTATGGCAGAGACAGTAAAAAAGAAAAGGGAGGGCTGTGATGAGTTTTCATGATATCGGGAACATAAACATGAATACTGACTTCATAAGGATGTGAAAGGAGGCAGTCATGGCTCATCTTAAGGTGCAATCCCTACATTTATTTGGTGATACTCAGAGCAATCAAAAAAGACCTGTATTCCTGTCGTGATTTGAACCAGTTACCTCCTGTGCAAGAAATATCAATGCTAATATATATGTAATTCATTTATCACTAACCTGTGCAGAAGGTTCCTGAAAATTTTGCCCGCATGAGCTCGTGTTCGATCAATCCTCTCCACAGCCTGTTGTGCCACACCCACCATTACTTTTGTCACCAGTTCCGATGTCAGCAATGAAGAGTTTGATTTGACAACAAGGCCTGTCAATACCTGAAGACAGCCCACAAATTATCACTGCATCTTTCTCAATATTTACCAAAAATGGCACAAACCTGGACACTATGGACAGACTTTGGAGAAAACTTTCACACAGTGCAGAATCTCACTTTCGTTGTTTTGCT